AGAGAGAGAGAGAGAGAGAGAGAGAGAGAGAGGCTTCGGTACGCAATCGGCACATTTCTGTACAAGTAGGCAATAACAAACTTTTGCTCACACGCTCGAGCCAAACAACCTCATGTGTGCTCTTGTTAGTCGCCTGACCTCACCATCACCCCTGTTGTCATAACAGTGGTTCTCAAGAAAACACACGCACACACACACACACCAAACGCACATAAACGCATTCTTCTCTAGCCTAAAACGCAACATGCTCCCCTCACAATCTTCCCAGATTAAGTTCATGACCCCTGGGTTAGCACACATTCAGACATTCAACACTCATTCATCGGGTCAGTCGCGCAATCAAGGTGCTTAAAACAGGCTGATGTGGGCGTTTTTAACGCGTCATGCTCCGACACACCACCGTACGGGCGACCACAACAGCCACATGGCAACAGTAAAGCATGTGCCGAGGCGGGATGGCTGTGATTGAGGCAACGATCGATTCAGAACACTGCCCCATTCTCAAAGTCAGGGGATAATATGAAGGGATTGAAAATCACGAGAAACTGGGTAGAAACAGTTTTACTTTGGCACTAAGAGAGAGAGACAGGCCTTTGAGCAATGACAATTTACACACGTGCCCTCTTTGAGATGTGTTGGGGAAACGCGCACAGGGCTGTCTGTTACAGCTACAATGTCCGAGATCGCCCTGTGTTCCAATTTTCCCGCACTACTTATAACCAATAAGTGAACACGCTACACAGGGGTATTCCCATCTCGACCAATCAAAACGCCCACTTTTTTCCTTATTCAGAGGTCAAAAGTATGTGAAAATGCCGTGCATTTCACCAACTTTTGTGTACCGAATTTTTAATGAAATATCATGTAAAAATAATTTTTCGTTTTATATTATGTCTCCCAAATCATTTATGTACCTCAATCAGTTCTTAGAAGGGCTCCAAACAGTCATTTAGAATATAAAATTGAACGTTAAAAGTTGTCAACATTTCTGATAAGCGTGTTACTATATTTAGTATTTCATGAAAAGGTGGTGTTGCAGCGGGGCTGCGCTGTGCGGGCGACAGACCCCGCAGACTCAACGCCGGTACTACTTGCGATCCCTGGCCCCTGTCTTAATTTGAAAACGTGAAATATATTATAATTTTGACTGTTATACTTTGAACTCTCACGAACACATATAGTCTCTGGTAAATGGGTATAAATCATCAATCGTGAGGAAGATGATAGTAATGGCGTGTTGTCTAGTTTATTTTTTAAGCGGAGGGATGGAGTATATAACTGCGCACATAGCAATTGCATTTAAATAAATGAATTTTATAATTTATACATCTTAACGTTCGTTTAAATTTTGCATCATCAGTGGCTTTTGAGACAAATCAGTCATATTTCATCGATGATTTTGCCCCCCGACTCTCTGATCAATGGCAAGCACGAAGGTTGACCGAACCTCTCCCCTCCCTTCCACGGCTATTTTGGTAAAGGGGAATAAATTTACACGCAGAGCCTGGCAGCCATTTTGGTTTGATTTCAATTTGTCAAAGCAATTTATATTATTTGTATTCTTGATCCAGTTTTACGTTACATTCACGGTGAGGCAATTTTTAGATGTGAAAATACAATGCAACATAACAATAAGTCTTCTCATTTTCGATATGGATTAGTATCACACCGTGGGAAACTGGGTTATCGCACTTGCGCTCTGAGTTGCTTTTCGCGGAAGTGCAAAATACACCGAAATGATGAATGGAAAGATTGAAGTTATTGGACCCAGATATCTAAATACATGGTCTTGAGTGAGGATATTTTGTATTGTGAGAAGTTTATTGTCAATTTTTACGAACGTGTTACTTATTTAGGGTGCAGACCAATCTGCAAACTACATTTTTGAACGGAGAAATCAGAAGAACCTATTATCGATAATGTTTCATTCAAAACAAACCACAATTGAAATCTAACTTGGATCAAAATAAACGTTTTCATGGCTGTTTCCCAAGTAATTTTTACATTTCAACATGTTATTAGTATCATGGTAGTATGTACTTCCCAGTGAATTGGTCTCATGTGTTATGGAGGATGCTTTAATTGTTTGATAATGGGATTTCAGTAGGCTTGGCCTACTCACTCACACACAACTTTGCAGTTTCTGAGAGCTGTACTGTATAATAAGATCTCATCTTCTGGGTTCAGAACTTTGATTCTGTCCATTGCTCATCATTTTTTACACTGCAGGCATCACTACAGCTTAATGGTAGATCATGCTGCCACTGCTTCCAGATCTTTCGGCAACAAACAATTAGATTTCTAGTTGATAATTTCTCAGATTCTGATTCTACACACATTCTTCAGATGTCAAAACTCAATTTGTCGAATCGATGTTTCTATCATCATAATCGTAAAATAATTGAAAACGATTATTCAAGTTAAATTCAGATGTATGAATAGATCTACTTTTGTTTAGGGTTTGTTTGTATGCTCGGGAATAGTTCAGAAATTCTTTAGTAAAGTAAGCTAATTCTGCAATTCTCTGATCACATGAAGCTGCAGCGAGCACCTAGCACACCTCTGTGATTGGCCCAAATATAGAGATGACGTGTTTCCACCATCTATTTTTGTCGTCTTCAGGGGCTGCCCTCGCCAGTTGACTAGATCTAGATCTCACTGTGGCAGGCCCGCTTTGCCGCTAAGTGTGTGATGGGCTACGACACTGGATCTAGGTTTCATCGCTGTGTGTGCGTGGGCTAGTGTGTATGTGTGTGCGCTCGCGTTTGTTTGTGTGTGTGCACGCGCTTGTGTGTGTGGATGTACAAAATTTTAGAAGAGGTAACTTTAGGGAAAGAGAATTGTTGAATCTGTGTTTATAAAAGATAACACAAATTAATACAAAAAAACCGACAAACACGGCGAGATCTAGTCAACAGTTACTAGCGAGGGAAACCCAAAGGTCTTGGGAGAAACCCCGGGAGACGACAGAAATAGATGGCGGAATACGTCATCTACATTTGGGCCAATCACAGAGGTGTGCTAGGTGCTCGCTGTAGCTTCATGTATTCTGAACAAGGTCCAGTCATCAGAACATTCTTTATTGAAAAAACTTTGCACAGCTTGTTTATTTGACTTCAATAGATTTGGCTATGTAGCGCAGCATGACTTATCTGTCGACTAAGAAAAGTGGTAACATGGAGTGGAGAAATGTTGGGTTTGACCTGATCAGAGAGTACGCAAAATGGATGACACTTTAAAGCCCCTCAGCTTGGTTCTGCAGATTAAAAATTGTTCAGTTGAGAACATTGTTTTGATGTTACATTTTTACTAATGATTAAATATTTTTTCTCAGGTCATGCTTTCATCGTCTTTGTTATGATTGATGCATCTGTCAAAGCAAAGAACGTACAATGTACGAAGGAAAGAACATCCATTATTCCAGCACAGACAACAAGTTGCTGTGCTCCTTCAGCAGTAAGCTTTGCAACCAAAGACGTCTCAATGGATATGGATTCTGTGTTCGGCATATTTTGGAGGACCCAACAGCACCATTTAAAAGATGTGCTTATGTTGCAAAGTCCAGCAACCAGATGTGCACACAGGCCATACCCAAACATGAAGAACGAAGGTTTGTCTGTGTTTTCTCAATGGAAGAGGCTAGCCGTACTTAATGACTATAGTATGACTGTATGGAGAGACTCTGGACAGTGGTTCTGGCGTTCATTGTCTGTGACCACTTGGTGAAGGAAACTTCGCTCTTCGGCGCAAGCTCATCTCTATGATGTAACCCACCACAAAAGATCAGATGCAGTGTGGTTCACATTATTATTATTTCATTCAAGGAAATTAGACAAATAATGACTTTAGATTGTGTCTCTTTGATATCCTTAATAAATAATAGGTCGTTTGTATTTATATAAGAATACGCTGCTCTTGTCAATCAATGTGCATGCTATAATATAATTAAGTAGTGACCACTGTATCATTATTGAAGTTAAAAATGCCTTTTTCATACCACAGTACACTGTCCCTATATATTGCAAGTGTTCACTTGACAGAGACTTGACTATCCCAGCTGAATCACTAACATTCTTCCATTTCTACGTTTTGTCTCTAGAAAGCTTTTTATTTTTGTATTAGCTGACATCTGTCTCTTCTTATTTCTATATTTTCAGTATCTTGCTGTAACTAAATCTTATTTTCTCTTTCTATTTGCTTTGTCCAGATACTGCAACAACCACATGCAAGTCTTGGGCATGCTACCCAAGAAGGAGAGGAAGAAGAAGGAGAAGCCTGTGGGTACACCAGAGGCCAAGCTACTTCTAACAAGTGGTAATAGTACCAAGGCAAAGTTCAGCCTGTCGCACTCAAAAGAGAGCAGCGGAAATGCCTCGTCAGCACCATTACGCTCTTCAAGTTCAGCTGATGACCCAGACGATCCATATGCTTTCCCGGACACGGGTCCCTCGGAAGGCAAGCCGAGTGAGATGCTGGGGGGCTCTTCCAACCCCCCGGACAGCGTGCTGGGCAAGTCTTTACAGTCTGGCCAGGGCTTTGTTAGGTCAGCCAGTGACATCAGCTCCAGCAGTGGGCTCAGCATGTCAGGGGGCTCTATGATAGCCAGGTACTACCCTGAACTGGCTGAGAAGTTGGAGAAAATGAGAGCGAAACCAGAGCCAAAGAGCACGGCGAAGAGCCGAGCAAGGAGCTCAAGGACTATGAACAAACTTCAGACAAAAATAGCTCAGAACAAAATCAACGAGAAGTTGAGGAAGTCACAGGAGCTGAGTCAGACTGATTCGAACTCGAGCCCTTTACAGATTTCTAGTCCTGAGCAAGGCGTGGGCATGGAGCACAGCCCTAGCCCTGGTCCTGTGTTCAGCCCTGCCTCCTCACACACATTCAGTCCTCAGGCTTCAACAGCGGCTCACTTCCCATCAGGCCTCACTCTGGCTGGCTACGAGCAAGGCTCTGTGGCCGCAGAAGTCCCACCCTTACCCCAGGTTGACACATCCTTCCTGGCCACACTTGCAGCCCAGGACAATTTGGGCTTTCAGAACTCTAGTGCCAGCGAGGTTGCGCTGTCGTCGACACGTCTTTTGTCCCCGCACACGCCGCCCCGCCTGCCACCCCCGTACCCCGGCTCGTCCACTCTCTCCACGCCGTCGTCTCTCACCTCCTCAGATCTTCCGGCCAGTGCCTTCAGCCCTCAGGCCAGCAACTTAAGCAGTGTGTTGGATAACCTCACCGGTGCTGCCTCGTCTGAATCCCCTCAGAGTCTAAGAGCTCCAGTGTCGCACGCTGGGTCCTCAGGCCCGGCATTGTTGACTTCCTTACCGTTCACACCTCCGAGACAGACCAGCAGACAGACACCCCCAGCATTTCTCTCTCCGGCGTCCTCCAGCTCATTTCCCTCCACAAATACCTCATCAAATTACCTGTTTTCCTCCAGTTCTGCTGCCACAAGCTCAGACCCGCAGGCCTCTGGGGTGAAATCGCTGCACAACCACTTGTCCTCCTGGCTACCTCCTCCCAATGTGGACATGTTCTCCCTGCTGAACATCACCCCCAAGGCCCTGGGGGTGGACCCCAACAGAGGACTTTCCCAGTCCCAGATGCTCCCATCTCCCAACACAGTGGCAGCTCACCTCAGCTTGCCGCCACCTCCACCTTACGTGCCTCCCGCTGTGCTCCCCAAAGTGGCGGCCCCGGTGCCTAGTGTCACGACGAAACACTCTGTTGGCAAAAGCGCCATGCCCAAAGTGCCGGTGCCCTCCTCCTCTCTGTCGGTCACTCCAAAGCTCTCGGTACCTCAGTGCAAGCTACATAAACTCAGTGGAGTACTCTCTGAGAAAGCAGCCAAGCAAAAAGTGAAAAGTGATCTAGCTGTGAAGTTCTACTCCTTCTATGCCAAGAGAAAAATCAGTGACCACTGTTTGGTTGGCCCATGTAAGTTACTTTTTGATAGCGTTTTGTTGTTAAAGAAAATTATGTGATTTTTATACCAAATCAACTTGACACTCAAAATTCTAAGGCTAAGGGGTTCTCAAAACAATGACAAACTGTGCTAGTGCGTACTTGAAAATATTCAGTTCTAGCTGTAATTTCAATATGTTTGAATTGAGGGGTTTGTAGACTTCATGTATTGTCATGCATATCAATCGTGGTGTCACTTTTCACCCATTTAGACTATAATGTACCTTTTAGTTAGTGTGATCCAACCTTCTGCTGGGGCTCTCTGCTCTGGCCTGGGGTCATCAGGGTTAATTGGCCCTGAAGTGAATAGCTGGTGGTGTCGATGTAGATCACATTGTTGTCATTTAAAAAAATGATACTACTTCCTCCTTATCCTACACAGCAAACTTAAAATACTGAAAGCTCAGTGTTTCGAGATTTATTAGTTGTTTGAATGGTTAAGTGTTTGTTGAGTACTCAATACGTCTTATTTCTATTTACGTACATTTTGATAAATGGTTCCTTTTTTTTTTTAGAGAAAGGTTCGATAGATCTCTCCAAAGTCTATGTTAAACTGGCTATGAATATCATGTCTTTTTCCATGAGAAATCTAAAAAATCTGAGCAAGTAGTAATAAAATCATTAGAGAAGAAAGATACACACACTTGCATCTTTTGACAAATTTTTTATAATTATGGGCTCTCTATTAGTTCCTGCATTACCATATATATGGGGCACATTAAAGAGAAATTCACTTTGCGTTTGTTCATGAATATATTGCCTCACCTGTGGCAACCTATATTTAAGAAAGATATCATGGGTTCTGGAAAATGACAAATAAGAACATTCAGCGTAGTTTTTGTGTCAGAAATGCAAAAAAATCAGAATGTGGTCAGTCTGTGCAAATTATTGTTAGACAAATTGAAAGAAAAGTTCGAAAAGACTGGTGTTGAGTGAGGAGAACATTAATAATTCTTCAGATTATTCTCTTTGTACACTTACAGACTAAGCTATTTTTGGAACAAGTCATACCAAGCAGCTCATTTTAGAACATCATTGCATTAGTTGGATGGAGAAGTACAAGTTTGGCCCTTGTTATATTAGCAGCATTATAGAGCCCTGAAACTAGCTGTCAAGAGAATATAAAACTTTAACTAGACAACAAAGTGGTGCGAAAGAGCTAGAATTTATTAAAAAACCCAAACAATAATCAATTAATCTACAAGGTTCTCTGTTCTTCAGTCAACTAACAAAGCCTAGAAACCAAAAGTTAAGAAAAGAAAGGATTTTCTTCAGTGTGACGGATACATCATAATATAAGAATGTAATTTATTCTGGCACTCAAATTGATTCGCACTTCTCTGCGGAGAGACCACCGCAGGTAACTCTTTATATATATACATTTGGGCAAATGTGGATATTCACGTTTGTCGTTTGTATTAGACACATAAAGTTGTGTGTGAAGGAATTAAAAGTTAAAATTGAGTAGTTTAAAATCTGATAAACTTTCCTGTACAAGCATCATGTATTTGATTGTCTTCTCAATGTGAAAATTAGTACAGAAAATGGTACATGTAGCAGTTCCTTCAAATCAAACCAGCCGAAAAACATGCTCTTTTAAAGTTTAAGATGTTGCATTGTTTTTATACTGAATTTTTGAAAATGGTTAATGTTTGAATTGATGTCTCTTTCAAATATGTTTATTTTTGAATTGTTTGGGTTCTTTCTTCTTTCATTCTTTCCATACCTCCCCAGTCCTCACAACCAAGTGCTTTTGTCTTTGGAACAACTTGATTGTTATATTTGTTTCTTGTGGGGATACTGCAGAGCTGTCTTCACTTCCTTTGTTTTGTGATATTAAATTCGATGGTATTTTTATAGATTTACTTTTAAAAACTGTTCTTTATCTCCGGTCAATTGCAACATTTTAAGGAGTGTAGGAACCACAGTCAAACCTGCTCTCTATTACAGGCACCTGTATTCACCTTCATGCCATATCATATGGCCACTTACCTTTTTCCCCCTTGCATTTTTTAAAACATTAAATAGTGACACTGTGTAAGAAGATGGCTGCCTGTTGAAGATGGCCACTTTTTTCCTCGGAAATGGTGGACCTGTTTAATTATGTACCTCTGCAGGACTGTGCTAACCCAGGAAAGTACTCACCCTTATTGTAGACTCTTTATTTGCTACAATTTTATCTGCTCCAAACCCTCCCACTGTCTTTTACTCCAAATTCTATTTTCTTTCAGATTTGTGTAGCTCAGAAGAAGAAAGTGAAGATGAAGACTGGGGCATGTTGCCGTGGCAACGCGATGTGTTCTCTGCTTCTTCTTCAGAGGAGGCTGATGATGATGAAGAGTAAGACTTACAATAATTAGAAATAAACACTTTTCAACTTTACTGACAATAATTCAGGCCTACAACATTGTAAAAATGACAATGTGGAAAAACTTTTCTTCATTAGTCATGTTTTTCAGCGACAAAAAGTAGTTGTTTTTTTTCCCCGGGGGGGGGGGGGGGGTAAACCGACTATGCCCAGGCCTCTTTTTGGAAGGTACTAAATCTAAAAATGATTCTGTGCAACTGATAACTTCAGAATCCCCTTTATGTAATTCTTATCGATTGGTTCTTCTTTCACTTTGGTATTGTTTCATGGTGGACTAATTGTTCATTTCTAACAACAAAAAGAAGCTACTTCTTTTCAGTGCAGTAATTTTTATTATATTAGTAAATGCAATCGGTTTAATTTCCTGCTGAAAGATAGACTGAATATTTTCTATTAACATTTTGAAAAACAAAAAATAGAGGTCATTGTAATGGAGCATTTGCCAAAAGGTGGGATACCTGGGTGTGAACAAATGAGGTCCAAAATCAACTTTATGTAATAATTCTTTAATCACCCATATGATTGCTCTTTCAGGCTCAGTAACTGCCAAAGCTGTATATGCAATCGTCTTGGTGTAATTCTGACTTGAATGACGGAAATAGCAAAAAGTTCGTTCATAACAATGATGACACAAATTTATGAATACTCAAAGTTCCTTTCTTCAGCTAGGCTGATGTTATATTTTGAGACATAGCAAAAACTTCCAAAAATACATAGAATTGACAGTTTATAAAAATCTTTATTAATTTTTTATAAAATTACTTTTTTGTGTCATAATGGTTATGAATGAACAATAAGTGACCAAAATACTATCAATTATGTCAAGTTTCATTGACTAGGATTGTCTGAAATAACACTCTGGTCTAATTATGGTCAAGTGATAAATGAAAGACCATTGAACAGCTATTCTTAAACGCAAACTGGTCATAGGGCATGTTATGCATAAATTTAAAGTTCGTTCATAACCATTATGACACACTGTTTCGTTCATAACTATTAT